CATCCCCAAAAACGCAGGGATCAGCCCCGGCACCTGCAACAACACCTGCGTTTAGCCCCTACGCTTACCCCCCCCTTCTCCCCAGCAAGTGCAGTGTCAGTAGGTCACTGTCACTTGATACATTGCACACAAAATCGCAGTGTTCGCAGAATCAGGCCTGATCTCTGTTAGCACTTGCCGGTAAATTTTGATGACTCTTATATGCAGCACAGCGCCAGTACTAGTGCCGCTCAACCTTTTTGGTGAACTGGCGAGTACCAGCGGTCTAGTACATCCTGGTCTTTCACATACCTCCTTGATTTTTGGAGCTGTTTTTCACACGAATATCTGTATGCGTTTGATTGTGGATCAAAGCAGTTAATATGCACAACAATTTATTGCCGCCAACCCAAATTCAAACCTTGCCAGACCATTCGTCATGGAAACTCATTACGGTTTTCAAATTTACATTTTTTGGGGCCTAACCCTCAACATGGGCATTACTAAAAGAAATGAATTGCGGTTATATTTTGATCTGCAGACCCTATTCATCATATGCCGTGTTCTCTGCTGCCATGCCCAGGCATAGATATGAGAGTATAATGTGTTTTATGCATTTCAGCGACAATACACTCTGTCATCCTCGGGGTAACCCTGAATTTGACTGGCTCCACAAAATTCAGCCCCTCGCAAATCACCCTAACCTAAAATTTGCAGATGTCTATACTCCCCAGCAAACATCTGCGTTGAGGAGTCCCTTATTAATTTTTCTGGCCGCCTTGCATTCAAACAATTTCTCCCCAGCAAGCGTGCCAGATATGGGGTCAAGATGTAGAAGACCTGTGTGGACAACAGGCTATACTTATAAGTTTCGGATTTACGAGGGAAAAGATAGTCAACGTGGAGCCTGCCCGGATGCCCAGACTACATGGGGAGCAGTGGCAAAGATAGTTTGGGACTTGGGGTCATCATTTCTTTATATGGGGTACCACTTATACGTGGACAATTTTTATTCAAACGTGCCACTATTTAGACACTATTTAGACATTTTATTAATCTTGGAACTGGCACTTGTGGCAAAGTGTGACCTAATGTGTGCCCACCATTAGAAGTGGGTGGATGCAGGGCGGTATATTCTAATGGTGGGCATACCACACACTTTTTCTGGCAGAGATTTCTTCTCATTTTTTCATTCAGTCCACTGGCTGCATACAAAAAAAAAAAAAAGAACATAGCACATATAAGCAACAAGGACCAGCGATGTATTGGTACATCACTGGATTTGAATGGTTATACCAGGATGATGACTACAGCTGCAGGCATCATCCTGGTATCGTTTTTTTCAGCCGGTGATCAGTTTTCATGTAAAAGCAATCCTAGTAGCTAATTACTGCTGCCAAGATTGCTTTTACAAGCAGTCGGAGATGAAGTCCCCCCTCCCCCCGCTGCCTTCCACGGCCTTCTCGGCAGTCCCGTGCCATCAGGGTAACCTGAGAATGCAGCCAGTGTTTCTGCCAGCTGACCACATAGAGCTGATTGGAGACCAGAATAGTGCCAATCATCTCTATAGTTTATAAGAATTCGGAAAGCTACAATGCATTTCATCACTTCAGTTTCGCAGGATATAAAACAGCGCCATTTGTAAATTGGGAAAGCATCTAATCACACCGATTTTGGTTTGATTAGATAATGTAAGGGAAGAGGAGATATCTAGAGTCTGATAGACCCCAGATTTCTCAAAAAAGAATATGACAATGCCCATTGAAGTTATAGGGGTTATTTGCATTCCTGTTATAGCATATAAAGTGATTTAAAAAAAAAAAAAAAATGAAAGGTACAATGTAAAAATAATAAAAAAAAATCAAAATAACTAAAAAAAAAAAAAAAATTGCCCCTCCCATGCGCGCAGACCTGTGTGCACCCAAGCCTTGACCCTGTGCCGTTATGTAAACAGCAGTTGCACCCATGCATGTGAGGTATTGCCGTGAACGTCAGATCAAGGGCAGTAATTCTAACACTAGACCTCCTCTGTAAATCTAAAATGGTGGGCTTTTAAAGGCTTTTAAAGCGCTGCCTATGGATATTAAAAATGTTTGCAGTTTGTCGCCATTGCACTGGGGCATGCGCAGTTTTAAAGCATGTCATGTTTGGTATCTATTTACTCGGCATACCATTATCTTTTATATTTTACCAAACAATTGGCTGATATATGTGTTTTTATGCATTAAAAGTAAAAGTAGTGTATTTAAAAAAAAAAAATTGCTTTTGAAAAATCGCTGCGCGAGTACTATGTGCCATAAAAAATTGTAGTACCCACCATTTTATTTCACTAGGGTGTCTTCTTTAAAAAATATATAATGTTTTGGGGGTTTAAATTAATTTCCTAGCAAAAAATACTGATTTTTTTTCATGTGAACAAAAAGGCTTGGTCTTCAGGTGGTTAGAAGAGTGAATGATGTGTGGTATAAATTTCTAATGCTGTTCATAAAACGCCCCCACCCCCCAAAATGACCCCTTTTTGGAAAGTAGTCACCCCAAACTCACTACTTGCTTAGAGGAATGTTGAATCAATAGAAGAATTTTTTTTTTTAACCACAAGTTTTTTGGAAAATGACAAAAATAAAAATATATTTTTTTTTTTTTACACAAAATTGTCATTTTAAATAAATTTACTGCTCACACATGCCATGGTTATATGTGAATTACTCCCCAAAATACATTTTGCTACTTCTCCCGAGTATGGGTGTACCACATTGAGAGACTTTTTGGCAGTCTAGCCAAGTACAGGACCCCAAAATCCAATAAGCACCTTCAGGCTTTTAAGGGCTTTATTTCCTCATTACACTTCCAGACTACCTATCACAGTTTCGGAGGCCATGAAATGCCAGGATAGCACCTAAACCCCCCCAAATTACCCCTTTTTGGAAAGTAGACGCCCCAAGGAATTTGATAAAAAGCACGGTAAGTATTTTGCAGATCTCATTTGTTGCCGACACAAGTTTTTGGAAAATGAAGAAAAAAACAAAAAAAATGTTTCTATTTTTTTTCATATTTCAAAACCTTGTGAGAAAAAATGATGAGATCTGCAAAATACTCAACATGACTCTTTTAAAATTCCTTGTGGAATCCCCATACTCAGTAGAAGTAGCAGAATGTATTTTGGGGTGTGTATTCCACATATACCATTGCTTGTGCGAGAAAATAAATCATTTAAAATTACAACTTCTTGTTAAAAAAAAAAAAAAAATGTTGTCATTCCCAGAAACTTGTGGAAAAAAAAATAAATCTTCCATGGACTCAATATGCCTCTCAGCAGATAGCTTAGGGTGTCTAATTCCCGAAAAGGGGTCATTTGAGGGTGTTTGTACTATCCTGGTATTTTAGCACCTCAAGAAATGTGATGGGCAGTCAGAAAGTAAAAGCTATGTAAATTCCATTATCTATACCATAGTTTGTAGACGCTTTAACTTTCGCAAAAAGCAATCAATATACACTTATTGGGATTTTTTAACCAAAAACATGTAGCAGAATACATTTTGGCCTAAATTTTAATGATGAAATTTTAGTTTTTTTAGATATTTTTTATATGACCAAAATGAGAAAATATTGTTTTTTTTAAAAAAAAAAAAAATTTTCTTCAAAAATTTTTCTGGTTATAGCGCCAAAAATAAAAAGTGCACAGGTGATCAAATACCACCAAAAGAATGCTCTATTTGTGTTAAAAAAAAAGGACATACATTTTCATTTTATGTACCATATTGCATGACCGCTCAATTGTCCACACCTCGCTTCAACCCTTCCTTTTTCGTTTCTACACATCTGCCACACCATGGCATGCTGTCAGGAATGGACTCGCCACTGGTGGTGGGACTCACCTGCCGTGTGGGTCTGCAGTACCAGGGCTGGCCAGCGGGTGCTCTCAGGCAGCCAGAAGCTCACTCCTGCAATCAAGTCATCACCTGAGGCTGATTGCAGGAGGTGTATTAAGGAGTGTGCCCAGGCCTGCAGTCAGTGCCTTGGTGTATGTTTCCCATGAGCCCCTGTACCTGCATCCTGTCTGCTTCCTGCCTGATCCTGACTTCTGCTTTGATCCTGACTCTGAATGAACTCCGCCTGTCCTGACCTCGGCTATTTCTGACCACTCTTCCGCTCGCTCCTGATACCCTGTTTGCTACCGACCACGGCCTGCCCAACTAAGTTTTTCATTTGTATATATGGTTATCTGTTGGAGGTGTGGGTTGTTTGCACTGTGTTATGTTTTACCTTGCACTGCATTTGTGTTGTTTAGTCTTTAATAAATCGTCTTGTTTACTCTATATACCTGAAGTCTGCGTTTCCCTGTGTCAGTCCACACACCTCTGTCATACCCGGCCCTGACATTACACACCAAGGCCATTCTTGACCAGAAGTGGCTGCACGGGAAAGCCATCTGGCTTATTGTTGTGAAGGATGCATCCGGAGGAGGTTATTTACTTGTGTCTGCTAGTCTTAGATGACAGAAGAATATGCCTAACAGACTTTGCAGGCGTATGCCAGGGATCAGCTGCTAGAGTGCATATACGGACGGGTCGCTCATTCCTTAGTAGAATCAGGGCATGGAGTTTTCTGAGGTGCAACCATTGATTCAGGCTTGTGTTGAGTTGGCTTCATCTAATACCCCTGAAAGCAGGAATGACTTTCTTCCACCATTCAGTACGGATCAAATAGAATCACTGGGTATGGTTGTTGGAGGATGATCCAGATTGCTTCTGGGAGCATTATTCAGCATGTTCACCACATGTGCTAGTGGACTGTATAAACGCAGTGCAGTCTTTGGTCAGACAGGCTAGGTGTAAGCTGAGTTTTGTTCAACCAATACAACAGTCCTGGTCAGACTTGTTACACCCAGTCAGCCTCAGCAGCTTGCAACAAACCAGTCCTGCTTCTAATCATCTCCTCTGCTCAAAGCTCTACTCCTGCATTCCCGACAGCACCCCCAGTGACAGCCCAATATACCCTGTTATCTACCACATGTCAGTACCCTGTTCCCACTCGCTGCACCTATCCTGCCTTTAACCCTGTAAAAAAGGCCGCTGTAGCAACTAATCCCTCCTCTGTTCCCATCCTCCAGCTCTTTTCTGTCTCCAGCTACTCCCTCCATTTACAGACCTGCATTTACTTGCAGTGCCCCCAGTAACTAAACCCAAGATGAAGCGAAAATTCTTTCCAACCAGTACCATCCTGCCAGTATCCAAACCGGTCAGCCTGCCGTCTGAGAACCCGCCACTCCGTTGTTCAGCTTGATGCCCTGATGCCTGATGACCCGGTGTACGCTACCCGCCTGATGACCCCCGATCTTGGCCTGATGACCCGATCCAGCTTGATGATCTGGTGTACGTACCCAGCCTGATACCCGATCCAGCCTGATGACCCGGATCCAGCCTGATGATCCTATCCAGCTTGATGATCTGGTGCCCCGCTACCCAGCCTGATGACCCGATCCAGCCTGATGACCCGGTGTTCGTGATCCAGCCTGATGACCTGGTCCGGCCTGGTGCCTTGGTGCCCCCGTGGGTCCGGCCTGGTGCCTTGTGCCCGTGGATCGACCTTGGTGACTCAGCGCCCGCTGTCGTGCCAGATGACCTCGGTGCCCGCTCTGTCATGCCAGAAAGACTAGGTGCCCGCTGTCGTGCCAGATGACTCGGTGCCCGCCTGTCGTGCCAGATGACTCGGTGCCCGCTGTCTTGCCAGATGACTCGGTGCCCACTGTCGTGCCAGATGACTCGGTGCCCGCTGTCTCGCCGATGGCCCAGTGCCCGCTGCCTCGTCTGATGGTCCGGTGCCCACTGGTGGTGGGACTCACCTGCCGTGTGGGCTGCAGTACCAGGACTGACCAGGAGGTGCTCTCAGCAGCCAGAAGCTTACTCCTGCAATCAAGTCATCACCTGAGGCTGATTGCAGGAGGTGTATTTAAGGAGTGGCCAGGCCTGCAGTCAGTGCCTTGGTGTATGTTTCCCATGAGCCCCTGTACCTGCATCCTGTCTGCTTCCTGCCTGATCCTGACTCTGAACGAACTCTGCCTGTCCTGACCTCGGCTATTCCTAACCACTCTTCCTCTCGCTCCTAGTACCCTGTTTGCCCGTTTGCTACCGACCCGGCCTGCCCGAATACGTTTGATTTGTATATATGGTTATCTGTTGGAGGTTGGGTTGTTTGCACTGTGTTATGTTTACCTTGCACTGCGTTTTGTTGTTTAGTCTTTAATAAATTGTCTTGTTTACTCTATACCTGAAGCCTGCGTTCCCCTGTGTCAGTCCACACACCTCTGGTCATACCCGGAGCCCTGACACATGCTCTATATATCCCCCCCCCCCCCCCCACCTCCTGCAACCTTCCTACTTTCTACATACAATATTTTCTTTTTCCACACATCATTATATAACTTTTTTTTCTCATACAATTTATTTTTTTTAATCCTATTTTTACCCTCTTTGTTATCTTTATTTTATTTTTTGATCCTTGTTTTTCATTTGTATTTCCATTCCATGTCCATTGTTGTAACCATCTTTCATTACCCTATATTTATTTTATTTCTCATTTATTATTTTTTATATTTTTTATTTCTCATTTCCCCCCCCCTATTTTTCCATATTTTGTATATATTTATTTGTTTACCCACCCTCAAGTTTTTATACTACTGCCCAACATATCCCTATAGTTTCATTATATGTTTTTTTTTTTTTTTTTCTTGTTCTTTTGCCCCAAGATTTTTATTCTCCAAGGTTTCCTTTATTTCCCCCTCACCTCTCCCCCCAGCCACCAACTTCTGCTGTGAGTATTACTGGCACATCTTTTTTTAGTTTCACGTGTATATCCTTGTTTTTTTATGCATGTGATCCGGCGCTCTTAATGTTAATCACGGCACCCCCGCTCGTCATGTGACGTAATTGACTGATCAGCCTCGCCTACTGGCTTTGCCCATATAAGCCCACACTAAGATGGCCGCCAGATCGGCCTGATGGAGTGATCATGCTCCGACCGCGTGCCATCTTGGAAACCCGGTCCATGCGGTGACATCATCCCTGCGAGCCTCCCTGTGCCCCTCTGCTATTCCCCGAGCCCTGAACACCACCAGAGGGGTGGGAATGCACCCAGAGCACTGCCAAAGGACCTGATGCTTCCACTGGGCCTTCATCACTTGACATGCCTACCTGTTACCTATCTATGTGAGTGCAATTGTACCATTAAATCTGCCTTATTTTAACTGTCTATACTTAGAGTGGCGCTGCTGTCTCTCTTCTCTCCTTGCATTAGGAGTATCTACAAGCTCTTACAGCCGGCTGCCTCCTCGGACAAGTCCATACTACTACAAGCCCCCCACTACAGATGGACTTGGACACCACCTCCACATGGACCTTCTACTAACCCCCATTGCTGATGGTCCAACCCCAAATGCACACAAGGTAGATGCGTCTTAGCGCTCCCTCCCCCCACTCAGCTCTGAATGTACTTTATTGTAGCCCATCAAGATACAGCGGCTTGACCATCCTACACTCTGTACACCCTGCTGTTAAACCCCTTTTCCATCCCCCCCCCATCAGTTACTATTGGTAACATAAGTCTTTTATATATATATATATATATATATATATATATATATATATGCCTAAGTGCATGTATTTTTACGTTTTTTTTATATATATGGCAATGCATACCTGCCCACTATTGCACTGGAACCCCTTTAATTATTTACCTCATAAACCCCCCCCCCCACACACACACACTTTTTTTTTTTCTCTTCGCGCTTTCTCTTACTTCTTCCCCCGCCCCCATGGAATTCATATTCAATATAGAGGTTACCGGGAGGAACTATACACCCTTCTTCCTACCCAACTCTTTTCCCCCCAATACACTATAGAAAAACACACCTTCAATCATACCTTTGCATTATTCAAATGATTAGAGGAAACCCTCAAGTAGTACCTCACCCAACAATGGTGGGATATATTCTTTTTCAAACAATACCTCCTTTCCAAAATCACCCCCAGAGGACTTAAAAGCAAACACAGGTGCTCTTTCCTTACCACTAATTTACAAACAGAGTGTGACTACATCTCAGAGTTCTGCTCTCACAAATGGATGGACATCATTATCCAACAGAGGAACATCAAATCCCAAAATCTCTTAATCAAAGCCCAATCCCTTATCCACACTATACAACCAACACACCCCACATCCCCCTCAGCTGGTTAAAAACACTCAAAAGAAACACCAAATCAGAAGAAGATCACCTACTTAAAAGTTAAAATCAATAAATGTAAAAGAGACATACAGTGGGGATCGAAAGTTTGGGCACCCCAGCTAAAAATTTGTATTCATGTGCATAAAGAAGCCAAGGAAAGATGGAAAAATCTCCAAAAGGCATCAAATTACAGATTAGACATTATTATAATATGTCAGCAAAAGTTAGATTTTATTTCCATCATTTACACTTTCAAAATAACAGAAAACATAAAAAATGGCGTCTGCAAAAGTTTGGGCACCCTGCAGAGTTAATATCTTGTACTGCCCCCTTTGCCAAGTATCACAGCTTGTAAACGCTTTTTGTAGCCAGCCAAGAGTCTTTCAATTCTTGTTTGAGGTATCTTTGCCCATTCTTCCTTACAAAAGTCTTCCAGTTCTTTGAGATTTCTGGGCTGTCTGTCACGCACGGCTCTTTTAAGGTCTATCCATAGATATTCAATTATGTTGAGGTCAGGAGATTGTAAAGGCCATGGCAAAACCTTCAGTTTACGCCTCTTGATGTAATCCCCCGTGGATTTCGAGGTGTGTTTAGGATCATTATCCATTTGTAGAAGCCATCCTCTCTTTAACTTCAGCTTTTTCACAGATGGCATCAAGTTACCATCCAAAATTTGCTGAAGTGTTATTGAATCCATTTTCCTTCTACTCGTGAGATGTTCCCTGTGCCACTGGCTGCAACACAACCCCAAAGCATGATTGATCCAACCCCATGCTTAACAGTTGGACAGAGGTTCTTTTCATTAAATTCTGTGCCCCTTCTTCTTCTCCAAACGTACCTTTGCTCATTCCGGCCAAAAAAAAATTCAATTTTAACCTCATCGGTCCACAGAACTTGTTTCCAAAATGCATCAGGCTTGTCTATATGTTCATTTGCAAAGTTCAAACGATGATTTTTTGTGGTGAGGACGTAGAAGAGGTTTTCTTCTGATGACTCTTCCATGAAGACCATATTTGTACAAGTATCTCTTTATAGTGGAATAGTGTACCACAACTCCAGTGTCTGCCAGATCTTTCTGGAGGGATCGTGCAGTCAAACGTGGGTTTTGAATTGTTTTTCTCACAATCCTGAGAGCTGTTCTGTCTGATATTTTTCTTGGTCTTCCAGATCTTGCTTTAACTTCCACTGTTCCTGATGACTGCCATTTCTTAATTACATTCCGAACAGAGGATATTGACATCTGAAAATGCTTTGCTACCTTCTTATAGCCTTCTCCAGCTTTGTGAGCGTCAACTATTTTCAGTTTCAGTTTTCTAGACAACTGCTTAGAAGAACCCATGGTGCTGATTGTTGGGGCAAGGTCAGATGAGTCTGGGCATTTAAAACCTTTGAGATTGACATCACCTGGTCTTCCCAGACGATGATTGAGAACAATCCATGACACTGGCAGGTCTCAGCTTGGCAAAGGGGGCAGTGCATGCTATAAATTCTGCAGGGTGCCCAAACTTTTGCAGACGCCATTTTTTTGTTTTCGGTTATTTTGAAAGTGTAAATGATGGAAATAAAATCTAACTTTTGTTGACATATTATAAGAATGTCTAATCTGTAATTTGATGCCTTTTGGAGATTTTTCCATCTTTCCTTGGCTTCTTTATGCACATTAATACAATATTTTAGCTGGGGTGCCCAAATGTTCGATCCCCACTGTAGATGACTAGAAGTACCACAGAATTTTCAATTGGAAAAACCACCAAACAGTCCACTAACCCCCCCCCCCACTACATACACCCCATCCCCCTCATGTCCTGTCACCCACAACCAAAACCCCACCAGAAAAATTCAGCTCCAGTACCCCTTATACCCCCTTCCACCATACCGGCTCCCACACCCTCACACCACCCCTAAACCCCAAACACCCCCCCCACTACATCAGTAATATCAGCCCTCATGTCCATAAACCTTACTCACCCTCGAGATCCCCCCAAACCCCAAAGGCCTAAAAAACGCCAACCCCCTCCCCCACCATGAACACTCACCAGACCCCCGCCACTCCCACCCCACCCCCCAATGTCCACCCTACCCCCAATCACACACCCCACCTACCACACACACACACCCACGGTCAGTAGTACGCACAATACCATACTAACCACACATAGTACTGACAACATCATCCTAGTCCCAATCCACAACCCCCACTACCCCAGTCCCACACTCACATCCACCAAAATGCCTTTTTTAGCAAAAAGCCCCCTAACCTCCTTTAAAAAGAAAACTAGAAGATGCCGGAGGGGGCGCAAAAGACAAAAAGAAAAGATAAATACAGCCCAGACTGTTAAAATATACTATCTCTCCACCTACACATTAGATAGTTATGACATACTGTATCATTACTCAGTAGAGGACTGACATTTGCCCCCACCGCCCCTCCCAATACCTTCACCTTATTCGTGGACCTCAATATATACATTAGGAATCTAACAGTAAAACTCTTCTTTAACATCAAAGCCCTTAAGGAAGACCCCTGCACCCAACAGCTCCCCAATCCACCCACCCTGTCCGACAGCTCGTATTTCGCTGAGGACAATATAGACCCATCAGACATTGAGGCACTAACTACTCTTGAGGACCTCTATTCCCATGACGAGGACCTTTATGTATCCACCCTCACCCAACATCTCCCCCCAATACAGCACACCAACTTCAGACCCAAATCCCTATTCAACCCCATTCATAATAAAGGCCCATATGTCAAAACATTCTACCAAGCAGTATACTCCAACATCTTACGGATGTGCAAATAAAGCCCCTCCGCTCCTCACATCTCCCTCAACCTAAC